ATGTTTCTCTCTCTACGTCACAGGCTTCCAACGCAACTGTTATATATCAAACCCACAACTGCTCGGAGTTTATTTACCAATATAGCATCATCACTGCCAGCGGCCATATCAAAAAAACTGATAATAACCTCTGGAGGGTAATAAAGAGTCTGTACTACATTTTCATTTATATGGGTGAATCTCACGAAACCTGTCCTGGTTATATTTCTCTCCAAAATAACGAAATAATAAAAATTTAAAATGTATGTTATTAGAAATAAGATATAATACAAATATATAAAAGATATTTAAAAAAAAACAAATATATATATATATATATATATATATAAAAATATTTGTGTAGAAATTATATTTTGGACGATGACAATTAAGCTTTACAATTACGTTTTCGCACTCGGACATTATTTTCATAAAAACTGAACGATTGTTTCCCCTACAAATTCTCATTGCTGTAATGTGAAAAATATTTTATTTAAATTGTAAAGTGAATACATAATTGTAGTTTTTATTGTGCTGTCTTTGTGTTGAGTTGGAAAGCAAAACAAAACAAAAAACAAAAGGCAAAAGCAAAAAAAACAAAACAAAACAAAACCATGCAAAACAAAACAAAACAATGCAAAACAAAGCAAAGCAAAAAACTAAACAAAACTAAACAAAACAAAACAAAGTAAAGCAATGCCAAACAAAGCAAAGCAAAACAAAACAAAAAAAACCCCAAAAAAACCAAAGCAAAGTAAAGCAATGCCAAACAAAGCAAAGCAAAACAAAACAAAAAAAACAAACCAAAGCAAAGTAAAGCAATGCAAAATAAAGCAAAGCAAAGCAAAACAAAACAACACAACAAAACAGTAAAAACATTGTATTACAGAGTAATGGGAATTTAAAAAAGAAAAAGTGTGGATGAGAATGGGATTTTTATGGACTACCATAATGGGAATGGGGAAAATGTTACAATGCATTTTTTTACATTTAAAATGTACTAAATATAATGATAAATCTAAAATAAGCTTAATTATAATTTAATTTATTTATTTATTATTCTTTATTTATTTTGGGTTAATATATGAGATGCAGGCAGGTTTTATGACATTCATGCATCTCATGTTTCCAGGCAAAGAAAGAAAGCATACTTCAAAAAAGGTTTCACACAAACAAAAGTGAACATTGTGTAAGACGCGAGCTGGCAGCGATAAAAACTTATTCACCGCTTATCTTCAACATAATGGAGAAAAATCAGGCATCAACAGAGCCAGAAGGCAAGAGCTTCTCGTGTTTTATGTGGCATCAAGATGAGGCATAATTACAGACTGCCTTTGCATGAAGAAAGAACTATAAACACTTCAATTCTTTTGCCTCACTTGTTTGGACTAAAGCTGGAGGGCGATCCTTTAATTATATCCTGTTTCATGAAGTTAGGTGAAGAAATGCAGGTTTGATTAAAAACGCACAAAAACCGTATGATTTTTAGCAAAAAAGTAAGCATGACTGTCAGTCGGTCGTACAAACCAGATCATACGAGTTCAGCAACACATAAAATAGTCACGAATTTTCATGAGATTGCATTACGAAATAGCTCTTCGCTATCAATCAGCTCAACCATTTCTGCAGAAACAGCCGAGCTCTAGCGCCTTGAACTGCAAGTTGAAACAAAGATATCCAGAGAGATGTTGAAGCAGAAAGAGGGGGGTTGTGTGACGCTGGAAAGAGATACGTGTGCCCTAATAGTGGGGGCAAACGAACGGCTGCAACAATCCAACGAAGAAGAGTCTCTCTCGGTACAAAATATTCACTTCCTGAGTCTCAACAAACTTCAAACTTCCAAAGAGAAAAAGAAAGGATCCTATAGACATCCTTGCCGTTAGCAGGAAGAGCACGTTTATTGACGGAGGTGGGACTGGATGTGAGCGCAGGCTGATCATTACTGACAGGCCGCTTGGCTTCTCCTGACTGTTTAATTGCAGGGCGGTGTGAAGCTCGCGTCTGCTGCTTTGTTGGTGGCGGAGGTGTCCGCTGAATGTGTGGCAAGCCCTGGCATGTTTTCTTATGGCTTTCACACCAAGAGTTTCGGGTAAGAGAAGGAAGGGAACTTAAGAGAGAAGAGCTGCAGTCGGATTGTCCCAGTACAGCCCAAAGCCATTTGAAATGAGCCTCACAATTAACACACCATCAAAGCATCGACGTGAATCTGTAAAGTTACGAAACTGCATTTTTAAGTATGACCCCATATAAATGGGGTTTGCTTGATATAATCTGATAAAAGAGCATGGGAATTCCCTTACAGAGGATGCATTTACACTACCAGTCAAATGTTTGGAATAATGAATTGAATATTTCGTATGTTTTTGCTGCAGATTAAAAACAGCATAACAGTCTATAAGAACTGTTTCCTATTTGAATATATTTTCAAATATAATTTATTCCTGTGACACACAGCTGAAATAGTGATGGAATCAATCTTGGAATCTTTGACGACTCAAATAGAATGTTCAAAAGAACAGCATTTATTTAAAAATAGAAATCGTTTGTGACATTATTCATGTATTTACTGTCACTTTTGATCAATTTAATGCATCCTTTCTGAATAGAAGTCTTTTTTTTTTTTTAAATCTTACACCAGACTTTTGAATGGCATGTCCACAAAAATATTGTGCAGCACAACTGTTTTCAACACTGATAATAATCAGAAATGTGTCTTGAGTAGCAAATCAGCATATTATTATGATTTCTGAAGATCGTGACACTGAAGACTGGAGTCATGATGCTGAAAATTCAGCTGCGCATCAAAGGAATAAAATACATTTTACAATATATTCACATAGAAAACAAATACTTTAAATTGTAATAATGTCACAATATTACTGTTTTTACTGTATTTTTTAATCAAATAAGTACAGATTTTATGAGCAGAAGAAGCTTCTTTCAAAAACATTTAAAAAGTCATAATTATTCCATGTATTTTTATTTATTTTGCATATTACAATTACAACAATTATCTGAACTTCTAAATATAATTTGTTGTCCACAGTATTTTGATGCAAATTGATACAGCTAATACTAATGCAATATTTAGCCCAGTGTTTGCTTCACATGTTAAACAAATGCTATTTATGCACAGACAAAACTGTCCGTTTTCCTATGTCACTTTAACATTTTTGCATTTTATCAGGTCTATACGCAGTGAATAAAAGTGTTTACTTTTGTACTGTGTTACTTCGCCGCGTGGTTTCCAGTGTAAAACTGAGATTTGAGAACCATCCACATTCATCCACAAGCAGGACAACTACAACCCAAAGAGCGGCCGATGGCTTTCTAGCAGGAAAGACGTGGGCCACTAATTGTTTAACTTGTAGGTGAGAATTGGCGTAAGATTTTGCCACATTAAAGTGTTTATCATCTCAACACAATCAGTGATCTGATTGTCGACAGTCGACACCCCACCGAGGTGATCACAACCCTGGTGACTAATCAACCCTACTGAATCAGATAAGAGCAGAGTCCCCAGGGCCACAGAAGAATAGCTGTCTCATTCCTTCAGAGACGCAAGTCAAAACACACATTTACATTGAGAGATAGGCTCTCTCTGAGATATGCTAAACACCTCCTTATCAAGGTGAGAGAGAGCCTTGATCATAGGCCTGCTGTGAGAAACATGTGTTGCACATGACAGTAAGCAAGACCGGGTGTTTTCTGTCTTTCAGATCCACACCCAGATACTGTTTTGTGTGTTTCTGGCCCACGCCTTCCCCACCAGTGTGTTCATAGGTCGAAACAAAAGCTAAACGTGACGGCATAGATTTCATCAGTGTAAACGCGCACTGATTCGGATCAGAAACCGGTTTAGAGATTACAACCTGTTTGGGATTTCTTGCTTTTAAAAACAATGCGGTGATGTTTCTAGATCAGTGTAAGTAAATAAAACACTTAAAAGTGAAATAATAAAAACACATTTTGTTTGTGGTTCGATGTTCACGTTTAGTTTATTCATGAGTGAAATAAAGCGACAATTGCTTTATGTTCACTTTTAGTGTTACTTTATAAATAAAACAAGTAAATGAATCAAGTAGCGAGAAAGTAAATTGTGACCCTGGAGCACGAAAGCAGTCTTAAGTCGCTGGGGTATATCTGTAGCAATAGCCAAAAAAAACATTGTATGGGTCAAAATTATTGATTTTTCTTTTATGCCAAAAATCATTAGGATATTAAGTACAGATCATGTTCCATGAAGATATTTTGTACATTTCCTACTGTAAATATATCAAAACTTAATTTTTGATTAGTAATATGCATTGCTAAGAACTTCATTTGGACAACTTTAATGATTTTCTCAATATTTCGATTTTTTTGCACCCTCAGATTCCAGATTTCAAATAGTTGTATCTCGGCCAAATATTGTGCTATCCTAACAAACCACACATCAATGGAAAGCTTATTTATTCAAGGGCTGGTTCACCCAATTTTGGAGCGCACCAGGACTCATGTGTGCACTTTGCGTCGTGGTACTCTCTAAAATGGCGGAAGACGGTAACTCGGGGAAAAGAATTGTTGAATAAAGTCATTATTTTAGTTTTCTTTGCACACAAAACGTATTCTAGTAGCTTGGCAAAATTAAAGTTGAGCCACTGATGTCACATGGACTGTTTTATCGGTGTCCTAACTATGTTTCTGGACCTGGGAACATTTCAGTTGCTCTCTATGGAGGGTCAGAGAGCTCTCAGATCTCATCAGAAAAATCCTAACTTGTGTTGTGAAGATGCACGGTCTGTGGGTTTGGAACGACATGAGGGTGAGTAATTAATGACAGAATTTTCATTTTTGGGTGAACTATGCCTTTCAGCTTTCAGGTGATGTATAAATCTCAGTTTCAAAAAAACTGACCCTTATGACTGGTTTTGTGGTCACAATCAGCCCGTATAGGCTCCATTACAGTAACTGATTTATGGCTCCGCTAATGTAACGCAGGAATGTGGCGATGCACACATAATTAAGGCAGTAGCACTCACTTGAGGAAGTACTTCTGTCCGCTGGGGGTGTACGCCATCTCCCAGCCCGGCGGCAGCGGCAGCTCCTCGGCCACATCGAAGGACTGGTGCCGGGTGTGAGAGTGGTGTCTCCCGGGGCTCGGAGCGCCCAGCGCCGCGGGCAGCTGCAGGGACGCCGGGGAGGAGTGCGAGCGGACGTGCGCCACCGGGCAACGCGGCGGGAGGCTGCCGGAGTCGGTGCTGGACTGCCGGGAGTGCGAGCCCGAGTCCGGCTCTCTGAAAAACGACTCGGGAAGATGCTTGTTCCTCCAGGAGCTGCTGGGCTTGGGGTTCATCACAGAGTTGAACAGAGCCTCCAGATCCGTGTCGAGGTCTTTGGCGACATGGATCACCTGCTGGCCCGGTAACGGCTGGAGAGGGTTACTGCTCATTTTGTTCGATATAAAAATACACAAACCCGAAAATCGTATGAAAATACTCGATTAAAAAAATAATCCTGGAAACTGTAGTAAGTTCTTTGGCTGGGCCCTGGGGTTTTTTTCCTTTTCTTTTTCTATTTTTTCTTTCTTTGGTAAAAGTAGTTTCGGTCTACTTAAAAAAAAAAGAAAGTCCTTCAAAGTCTCTAAAAAGTTGTCATAAAGCTACAGAAGTGTATGTGATGTTGTCCCGCATTGAGAGTTTTGAGAGATATTCCTCCGCTGCGTAACTTTGCGGCAAGTTTGTGTCCCGATGGAAAGTTTGTAAACTCAAGCTTTTCTCTCTCTCTCTCTCTCACACTCACACACTCACACACACACACACACACTCTCTCTCTCTCTCTCTCTCTCTCTCTCTCTCTCTCTCTCTCTCTCTGCGTCTCTGAGCGGCTCCTGTGTCATTCATGAATATTCAGTGCTCCAGCCCTCATTAATATTCAGTGATCCAGCCCTCATTAATATTCAGCTAATCAGTGCCATACAGTTTTGCTCATAAAAGCAACTATTGATTATCTATGGATTATCCAGAATTTTAGCTACTCAACAAATGTTGTGTTATTTTAAAAGGAAGTAGTGAAACCATGATTGTCTTTGAATAAAAAGTTTAAGAAGAATCTGACACAATTCTCTAAATATTTTCATTTTGAATTTATTAAATCTGGTTGAATTAAATTTTAAACATACATTGGAAACAAATAATAAATGAAATGATAACAAATATGACATATTGCACATTTAATCATCAACTTGAATATTATCATCAGCTAAAATATTATAAACACTGAATATTTTTATTATTTACAGAATTTCCAAACTTATTAATGTAAAGTATTAGATATTGTAATAAATAATGAGTGTATTTAATGTGTAAGTCATTTAATGTATTAAATAATTTGAGTCATTTGGAATTTTGAGTTATTTAATTACATGTGTAACTTTTATTTATTTGTTTGTTTGTTTGTTTATTTATTTCCTATAGATAATTTATAATAAAGCTGAAATAAAATAGAAACAATAGATGGAAAATTTAAACTTAAAACACTTAATGTTGCCTTGGCAACTAACTGAAATTAAAACAAAAGTCAAATTACTAAAACTAAAACTGAAATAAAATAAAAAAATGAACCAAAATACAAATATAAAAAAAATAAAAACTACGAAATGACATAAAAAAAATAAAATGACAACTTAAACTAAAATATAAATTAAAACTGAAAATACAAAAGCTAATTCAAAATATGAATACATTCTAGGCCTATAATAGTATATAAATAAAAATTTTCTCAATCCATTTGACACATTTTTCCAAAAGGAATGTAATTGTTCTCCAAAGAATTAACACAGCCATTTAAACACTCTTACCTAAGCCAAACAGTTCGACATCTTTTTTTCTAGTAATGCATTTATTAGAAGTAATTACTAACATGTGTGCTCATTTTCAGCTATAGATGCACAAATACACTGTTTGTTGAGACGTTCTTCGGCAGGGAGTTTTGTTATACACTAAAGTGTTTGTCCCATCCTGATTTCTTCCGCTTTGTGTATGTCTAAACAAAATACAACATGAACCAGAGACAGCCTGAGTAAACACTTAATGCATTTTTATTGATTTATTTCACTGAAGCCCATCACCCAAAAACCAACTGCCCCTAATGCATTACATTACACATTTTAGGAAATGTAATCGGACAACTTTTAGATTACTTTTTAACTGGGAATATGCAAATGTGTTACTTATTTATTATCTTATTACCTTAAAATCTCAATGGGTATTTCAAGTAAATTGATTAGGTGAAAGGTGAAAAAATGTTTGGGTACACTGCATTACATAAAAACTAGAAATGACGTGAACTTGAGCTCTTTAGTGTGTTTGAAAGATAACTGGTCTTTGTGTGAATGTCCCCAAAACTGGAAAATCAGTTACTTTATTAAAGTAATCTAACGGATTACATTTAGTGACTTTTTGATTACTTTTCTACATTTCTAACTCTAACGACTGTTCATTTTGAAACATGTAAAGCAGGCAGGGTTAACCTTACAGTAGTGCTCAACACTGATTACCGTCAGACTTAGAAAAACTTCCGTTTAAAGCACAGCCACCACAAAATCAGTTTCTTTTGAGATCGTTCTGAGGCTAAATACAGATTTAAAATCATAACAAGATTCAGTTTAATAGCTATGATACTGTCAAATCTTTGCATAGCCACGACAGGAAACACTGGCATCTAACAATGCCTTGGAAAAAACTGTTAATCTTAAATAAATAAAGCATATACTGTACATAAACCCAAATAGGTTATCGCAGTTATCGCATGTGTCCTAAACTCCTGAAACATTGGTGTCTCATATTTTAGAGCAGCCGCTGCATTTTCATAAGTGACTGTAATCTAATTACACATTTTTAACTGATTACCGTTACATCTATTTTGTAATTAAATTACGTAATTCTGTTACATGTAACTAGTAACTCCCCAACATCAATAAAAGAGTAACTGTAGTCCGAGTATGAGTACTTGAAAATGTAAACCCAGCACTGCAAATAATTAATGTAACATACTTGATGTGTGTTATTATGTATTGTGTTAAATTATGTGTCTAGCCTTTGTTTTTTTTCTAAGTAGTAGATGAAATAATATTCTCTCACAGCAAAGGAGGAGCTCCCTTTTGGAGCTCAGGCTTTGTATAAAAATAATTTTTCCAACATGTGAGTCAGATGTGTTGTGAAGCTGTTTATCAGGTCAGCTGTGTAAATTCCAGTCACACCTCAGCATCAGCGTACATGTCTAATACACATGTTCATGTGTGGAGATGATTATATTCATCTAAGTCAGTGATTCATATAATTGCAAGCCGTTATGTCTTGATGTGGCTCAGACTAAATGTCCGGCCTATATCCTGTAATGTGAGAGACGGAGAATGAATAAATATAATTGCTTTCACAGTGAACAGATTTATGCTGATTCATTTAAATAAATGCATTTTGAATATATATATAAAATCAGGTAATAATAATTAAAAAAAATGCCATGATTTTTCTGATTGCATTAATTTCTTTTCTGTACAGCTGACAAATATGCATCACATTAAGTTATTAATTTATGTTAATACTGTGTAATCAAAATGTACAGAAAGCTCTATATAGGCTTAATTATTCATTCATTCATTCAGGGTATAAGGACCATTTCTGTTAATTTTTTTAATACAAAATAATCTATTAAAATGATTTCTTCTAAAAGTTAAACTCCACATCTATTACTTTACATTGCTGGTCTTATTGTGTTTTTTTTCTGTCTAATTTTTAATCAAAATCTAATAGCTTGGTCCGCCTCTAAAAAGGCTTTTTTGTTGTCATATGATGTCTCCAATGTCTCCTATTATTTTTTAACCCTTTCATCTGTCATATAGAGACGCTTAGATCCAATTAGTTCTGGATATCCCACCATGCATTGTGTCCCACTGAATATCCAGTTTCACTGCGAAATATAGAACAATGTGGAAGTTACATGGGATACAAACTGTACTGTTAACTAGAAATTAAACTTAAAATATTTGGTAATGAAAATAACGCTAAAATCAAATATAAGTATTAGACGAAAAGCTTACAATAAATAAATCAATCAATCAAACATTGAGAATTACTGCCTTGGCAATGAACTGAAATAAATATGTGAAGAACTAAAATGCCTAAAACTAATTCTGAAATTAAAATAAGCCAGAAAAGAAATATAAAAAATATTGATAATAAAAATGACAAAAGTGCATAAAAATGTGAAATATTTTCAAACTAATGAAAAAACAACAACATGAAAATGACTAAAACTTTAACAAAAATTACATTCAAAACCGAAAAAGGTCAAAATAAAAGCTCATTTGCAATGCTATAATATTATATAAATGATATTAGGAAATATTACAGTGTAAAGTTAACAAAGTTTATTAAACAAAACAATTTACTCATAACTTGTTTTTTTTAATTTTATTTATGTTATTGTAATTATAAAATATCAAAAGTATTGAAATGGCTAATATTATTTAATAAACATTTTAAACTAAAAAAATAATTGAAACAAAAAAAAAAGTGAATATATGGACAGAGCACTGGTAGGGACCCTACAATCCTGCAGCACTTCATACATGAAGCTAAACACAGTTGCACTGTAATACTGTAATCAGGGGCGTAGATTACGCGTGCCCCCCACCCCCCACTTTTAGGGTAAATTCGTCCCCCGCACTTTTTCGGGCAAGTGTGTTCGCATAGAAGTTTTCAAGAGCCCGTGTGAATAAATATAGATTTAAATTCAAAGAGACAGGATAGTCTGTGCATGATCTGATATTTTATTCGGACCCAGAATAAGGCGAGATGAACATCACGGAGCGCTAAACACTCATGCAGTGTATGTTTCATTCATACTCGAAGCCGGAGGGTCGTACCAGGAAATTCCTAATATGGACAAAAGCATCCAGCTATCGCTGTATGAAAACAGTTGTTTTCAGAAAAACAGAAACATTTGGAAACATGAAGACATTAAACATATTATTGCGAAGTGATTTCAAAGCTGAATTTTTAGCATCATTACTCCAGTCACATGATCCTTCAGAAATCATTCTGATATTCTGATTTGCTGCTCAAAAACATTTATTATTATTATGTTGAAAACAGCGGAGTAGATTTTTTTTCAGGTTTCTTTGATGAATGGAAAGTTCAGAAGAGCCGCATTTAACTGAAACAGAAATCTTTTGTAACATTATAAATGACTTTATCATCACTTTTGATCAATTTAAAGCATCCTTGCTAAATAAAACTGTTCATTTCTGTAATTTATTTTCCCAAAAAAATTTTAAATTATACTGACTCTAAGCTTTTGAATATTATAGTGTATAATGTTACAAAAGCTTTTAATTTCACATAAATGCTGATCTTTGGATTCTTCTATTCATCAAAGAATCCTGAAAAATTTACTCAATCGTTTTAAATATTGATGATAATAATAATTATAAAAAAATGTTTCTTGAGCAGCAAATCAGCATATTAGACTGATTTCTGAAGGATGTGACACTTAAGACTGGAGTAATGATGCTTAAAATACAGCTTTGATCACAGGAATCATTTTAAAATATATTCAATATTGTTATTTTAAATAGTAAAAATATTTCACAACATTACTGCTTTTGCTGTACTTTGGATCAAATAAATGCAGGCTTGGTGAACATAAGAGACTTCTTTAGAAAACATTAACAATCTTACTGTTCAAAAACTGTTGACTGGTAGGTTATATAGATTACAGAAATGTTATATTGTAATGTTTATATATATATATATATATATAACATTTCTGTCCCCCTCACTTCTGAAATGATGGCTACGCCCCTGACTGTAATACTCTCACATGTTTTTAACACTGTTAAAATTACACCACAACCTCGAGCATAAGGGAGTGGATGACTGCGCTAACATGTAGATTAAAAATTAGCAATTAGCACATGAATCATTATCCTGACACAAGTAAAGTTTCCCGGATACTCAACAAAGCCTAAATGACTCATGATCATGTTAAATCACTAACAAAAAGAGCACGTGCTTCAGGAAGTTTCTTGCTCAAAGTAAACCCCAAAATCCATTTGTGCATTTACTGCATTAAAAAAATCATACATGTTCAATTTGAAGGATTACGTTTTTATTATATGAACTGATGAAAAACAAATAAAAGCACAAGAGCATCTATGAATACAGTTCAAATGTTAACAGTGCAATAAGGAAACAGGCAGTTTATTGGTCATCTTGGCCTCATTAACTGGCAAACGCTGAATCTGCTACTGCGCTTTCAGCTGTATTTTTATTTTTTTCAGATTCCCACTCAAAATGGGTGCATAAAATGGAAAAGAAAAAAAAAATCTGCAGATTCAGCTACTCTACATTATGGACACCTTAGAAAAAGTGCGTTCACTGATCATCATGACTTGGTCCAAAAGATGCATGTATTGCTGGGGATGTAAACATTCGGCCCAAAAATACACAAACACCCTTCAGTGCCATAAACTTAAAGATACTCCACCAAATGATGAAAACTCTGTCATTATTTACTCACCCCCTTTTTCTTCTGTGGAACATAAAAGAAGATATTTTGATGAATGTTGGTAACCAAATGGTTCAGCACTATCTTACAACCAATTTGTACGTATTTTACATGGTGGCTAATTTGTACGACTTCACTCGTACGATTTTGTACAATTTGCCTAGACCCCAGAGATGGCTAGGTTTAGGGGTGAAGTTAGGGGTGGGTCATTCGTACAAATTCATACGAATTGGGGAACACGTAAAATACATACAATTTAGCAAAAATCGCACAAATTCAAATGAGTGAGGTTGTACGAATTCGTATGAATTGGGGAACTTGTCAAATACGTACAATTTAGCAAAAATCGCACAAATTCAAATGAGTGAGGTTGTACGAATTCGTATGAATTGGGGAACTTGTCAAATACGTACAATTTAGCAAAAATCGCACAAATTCAAATGAGTGAGGTTGTACGAATTCGTATGAATTGGGGAACTTGTCAAATACGTACAATTTAGCAAAAATCGCACAAATTCAAATGAGTGAGGTTGTACGAATTCGTATGAATTGGGGAACTTGTCAAATACGTACAATTTAGCAAAAATCGCACAAATTCAAATGAGTGAGGTTGTACGAATTCATATGAATTCATTCAAATTGGGGAAACTCGTAAAATTCGTGTTTGAATTGGGGAACTTGTAAAATACATGAGATTTAGCAAAAAAATAAAAATTTCGCACAAATTCAAATGAGTGAGGTTGTACGAATTAGTACAAATTGGGGAACTCGTAAAATACATAGGATTTAGCAAAAAAAAAAACTGTATGAATTCGCACAAGTGAAGTCTTACAAATTTGTACGAATTAGTCACCTCATAAAACATGTGCGAATTGCCATGAGATCGGGTTGAACAGTTTCAGGTCCCATACGCGTCCATAATATGACCAAAAAATATCACGGAAGTCAATAGAACCTGAAACTGTTTGGTTACCAACATTCATCAAAATATCTTACATTGAACATCTTATATTATCAAGATACCCTGAAGAACCAAACCGTTTTGTGTCTCACTGACTTCCATTGTATGGCTATCGAAGTCAAAGGGACCCAAAACTATTTGGTTTCCAACATTCTTCAAAATATCTAAACTCATACAGGTTTGGAACGACATGAAGGTGAGTAAACGACGGCATCATTTTCATTTTAGGGTGAACTGTGTGTTTAATACAAAAGGCACCAGTTAATACTTATGGCACAAATGAAAGATGAAATCTGCATTGACTGGTCTCTGAGGAACATCAGTGGTTTACAGTCGATCAAGCGAGCCGTTGATCAGTGCTGCGGCTCTATTTGATGTTGCGGAGGATGCGGCGGCAGTGGCTGCTCTTGAGCTCGGCGAGCGCTCGCTCCAGCTCGTCAATGAGATGCTGCAGCGTGGCGGGATCCGTCTGCAGGACGCGGGCGCTGCGCTTCGCACCATCCTCCAGGTGGAGCTTCAACGTCACGGTGGGCTTCACCTGGTGCCGGAGCGCCCGGCTCGCCAACTAAAAGCAGAGCCAACACAGAACGGTCAAGCTTACAGTTCTTGAGCATGTGCATGACGTTTCATGCCTTGCAAACTAAACATTGGGTTGCAGTTTCTGCCTGTAATATCTATAAACTTGTCAGCTTGGTCAAATGATCCATTTGACAGTCAAATCAAAAACTATTCAGACACCAGATATAAAAAAAAAAATTATATTTGGGTGCAGGACACTATAGTTCATTTATGTAAGTGAGGATAGCAAAATAAAGTAAACTGTGACAAATTATACCCAGAAATTCATCATACAGTGGACTACCAGTAAAATTTGGGACTAAAAATTATTCAGACACTTTTAAGTGTTTTTTCTTTAATTGCTAATGTGACCTTTTCACACCACAGACTGAACAAAATTAAGCATTGCTTGGTAATTGGTTGGCCTTAATTGGTATTGTCTAACCATGCACTTAAATTTAACAGCTGAATTCATTACATACCTTTCTAGCAAAGTTATGACATTATCAAGCTGAATTTGTTCTGACAGTTTAACTCTGAGTTATTCTCATATTTTATTACCATTTTCTAAATTTCACACCACAGACTGAACAAAATTAAGCATTGCTTGGTAATTGGTTGGCCTTAATTGGTATTGTCTAACCATGCACTTAAATTTAACAGCTGAATTCATTACATACCTTTCTAGCAAAGTTATGACATTATCAAGCTGAATTTGTTCTGACAGTTTAACTCTGAGTTATTCTCATATTTTATTACCATTTTCTAAATTACAGCGAATAAACTGTGATATAATGTGAGAAATGTTGAAGGTGTCTGAATACATTTTGGTTTGACTGTATATGAAGTTGTCAAAATTACAATTAATTTGCATTATTTTCCAGCAAAAGTAAATAAATGTATTGTCATCTTAATTATATAATTATAATAACTGTTTTATTATTCTCTTATTTTCTGTGCAATATTTTTTGTTTTTTAATTTGATGGTAAAAAAATGAAGTGAAAATAGCAATCTGTGATTAGCTTTATTTTTAGTTTAAGTTTTTGTACTTTTGTTGTTGATGGTTTTATTTAGGTTGAACCTATTCTTATTTCAGTTGTAGTTTTAATAATTTTAGTACTTAATTTCAGTTAGTGGCAAGTCACCATTTCTAATTTTGAATGAACTTTTATTTTTAGATTTTTAATTTTCATTTTAAACTTTAGTTTGTTTCAGTAATATTGTTGTGTACTTTCGTCACTTATTTCAGTTTTTATTTAGATTTATTTTTATTTAATTTTACATTTATTTTAATTTTGTTTCTATTTTTATTTTTCATTTTTACTTTTAAAGTTGTAATTCTAATATTAAATTAACAATTTTAAGTTTGCGCTTTCATCTAATATTTCTATATTTTTTTTACATTTAACTTTTTTTGTTGTTTTTAACAAAAGCAATTTTAAATAGTTTTAGTTAACAATATCAACACAGGGCTGGGTGTGTTTGACGCCAGTAGCAGAAACTTCCTGGTGGACGTCTCCTCTGGCGGAAATGTAACCGATGATCTTGGAAGAAAAGCATGTTTATCAACTGGAGGTCGGAAAAGGGGAAAAATAATAAGAATGGGAAAGTCAAATGAAAAGAAGAAAGCGGTGGCGGGTAAGCACAGCTGTGTTGTGAATGGACCAGAGTGGGGAGATTCTGATATAGTGGATAGTGAGGATAGTATGGAAACAAGTCAAGGAAGCAGAAGAATGAGGGAGAAAAGAGAAAATACATTTGAAGGGATTAGAGCAAAGAAAACCAGGCGTAGTCGAAGTTTTGAAAGAGGAGTAGAAGAGAGTGACCATGAAAGTTTGAAATTTAAAAATGATACTGAGATTTGGCGAGGAGAAGGGAATATCATCAATGGGTCCAGTGAAATTTACAACTATTTTGCGAAACCAGATTGGCGACATACATATGGCAAAGGTTTTAAGAGATGGAAATCTACTGATTGTTTGTAGAAATGAAGAGCAGAGGGAGAGGGCTGGCAGAATTAAGGAAATAGGACAATTTAAAGTAATAAATACAAGTCGTGTGGAAAGGGAAAATAAGTGGAGTAAAGGAGTGATTTGGGGAGTTC